TTCTAGGAATATAAGTAGCTCGATCTCCAGAGGGGTTGGTGATCAATCAATGCAAGTACACACTTGATATCTTGGAGGATTGTGGAATTCAAGGAGGATGACCTAGCAAGTTTCCTATGGAACAGAATCTTCGTTTATACAAAGATGATGATATCCCAGAAGTTGATGCTTCACGGTATCGTCGGTTGGTGAGAAGATTGTTATATCTGATAGTTACCCGTCCAAATATTTGTTTTTCTGTGAACCAACTCAGCCAATTTTTACGCAAGCCTCGAAAAACTCACATGGATGCTGCTATTCGAGTCTTGTGTTATCTAAAAACTACACCGGGACAAGGATTGTTTTTGCCTTCAAGTGGGGATCTTAATCTAGTAGCTTTTCATGATGCTAGTTGGTTAAGTTTCCCTTCAACAAGACGCTCGTGTAATGGTTACTTTATTAGCTCAGGAGGTGCCCTCATTTCTTGGAGAGCTAAAAAGCAAAGTGTTATGGCTTGATCCTCAGCTGAAGCTAAATATAGGTCCATGGCTAGTACTGTGTGTGAGGTTTTATGGTTGTGATGGCTCCTTCAAGACTTGGATGCTACGTAAGAGGGAGCTACACCAATAATGTGTAATAGTGAAGCAGCTCGTCACATTGCAGTTAATCATGTTTATCACGAGAGGACAAAACATGTGGAGATGGATTGTTTTTTTGTTCGTGAAAAGATTAACATTTGTAAGATAAAGTCATGCCCCCATTCGCTCTGAATCACATCCAATCACATCCAACTGACAGTTTTACCAAAGCATTGGGAGTTGAAAGTTTTAAATTTCTACGTAGCAAGTTGGGTGTTCGTGATCTTCACAATCCAACTTGAGAGGGAGTGTTGAGACTCGTCGTAGATGTCTTCTAGATGATTCTTTCGATTGCTTCCTTATCAAGCCTCCTTATCTCCTAAAGATTATAGTTATCTTGTTTCCTTTTATTTAGTTTTTGGGTATATCTCTATTTTCGGTATTATATATACCTAATGTAATTCTTGATTTGAGAATTGAAGAAATCAATAAACAAAAGGTTATTTTATATCAGATTTATTATGGTAGACTTCACAACAATCCAAAATAGTTTCCTATAATGTTCATCGTTGAACCTTTTTATTTAAGTTAGCATAGATGTGTATAGCATATTGTCTATGCAAAAATAAAACAATGAAAACACATGCAAAATATAAGAGAAATGCATATCTTGTGTCCATCTCGAATGATGGTAAGTCCACCACCATTGTCCGATCCAATGGCATCCATAATAAGGTCTAGAAACCATTTCTATGTGTCTTTATTCCCAACATTTACAACAACCCAAGCAAAAGGATAAATGTGGTTATGGCATCCCTACCACTACAAAAAAAAGCTCACCTCTACGGTTATCTTTCAAAAAACAACCATCAAACCTAAACACTCTTCTACAACCTTTCATCCAACCATCTCTAACACCTTTAAAGCAAACATAATACTTTGAAAATATATGTGGGTGAATCGGGTGTGATGTCCACATCCATTTTAATAGTAGATCCTATCCTAATTTCCTCATTATAATCCCATATTTTTCCATAGTGTCTAATCAAACTACCCTCAATCTCACTCGATGCAAACCTTGCTACATTTCTACACTGCCCTGACATTTAGATTAAATTTCTTTGAAATTTAGGCTTTTATTTTCCTAAAACTCAACTTTGGCCTTTCCAAAATTTCATTTACAAAATGTTTTCCTATCCATTAATAATTCACAGTTGCTCCAAGTTTCATACCATATATCATAACCATGTGCAACTGCATTATTACCTGGCCAATGTGTATGTTCTCTAAGATTAGATAATTTCATACATAATAAAGGAACCGTCTTATTCCATTCCTAGGTATCATCATGCACAGGGTAGATTGATGGTTCAATATAGCAAAATCATGTCCTTCAAGGTCATCAGTAATGCAATCATCTTCATCTTTTTTTTTACAAGAGATAGTGGATTCATGAAGGGATCATCAACTAGTTTATTGACTAACACCACCTCCTCATCCTCTTTGTGATCACAATTATCATCATCATTGTCCGATAACTTGCAATCAACATCATCATTAGAGTTGTCAACATCTAGGACTTCCATTCCAATCCAATCAAACAAAGGTTCGTTAAAGTGGTCCACATAGACAATTATTCTCTTATTATTTACATATAAGCACACTCAATACGCTCTCTTTGTAACCACCTTCATCTTGTATTACCTTCAACCCCCGAGTCAAAGTTTCTTAAGGAAGAAATAGGCATCCTTGCATTTCTTTTTAGTAAACTTAAAAATAAATAAATAATAAATAAATAAATAAATAAACAGTGAACTCTAAGAACCCCATCCCTTTAAAATCAACATTTTTGATGCTCTATCTGGATCAAAATGTACAAGTGGCTTAGGGACGAATGTTCCATTGTAGTAGATATCAACAATTACAAGGATATTTTCACACATTGTGCTCTTGCTATGTCTATGTTTGGTTGACCAAGAAGGTGGTTGTGTAACAGAAAACTTGATGTCATTATCAAAACAAGGAGACAACATAAAATGAGCATGTAATGGAGAATTGGTTCTCTAAGGGAGGAGGGAGTCATTCCCTCCCAACCCACCGAACCCACTGTCACATCAGTTTTTCTTTTTCATTTTTCTTCATCTTTCTCAACCCACAACACACGAAAACCCTATCTTTTTCAACCCACTCAACCCATTCAATTAAAAAAATACAAAACAATCAAGGTAAAATCTTAATTAGCAATAGAGTTACCGGTAGTATCACTCCTTCTTCAGGTTATTTAATTGGTTTCACTAACCCACTTTATCCTCTCTCTCTAATTTTCTCTTGTACCATTGTTTTAAAACTTGTACCTTAGTTGTTTTGTATTTTTTTTAATTGAGCGGGTTGAGTGGGTTGAGAAAGATAGGATTTTTGTGTGTTGTGGGTTGGGAAAGATAAAGAAAAAGAAGAGATAAAAATTGATGTGACTGAGTTCAGTGGTTGGGAGGGAATGACTCCTTCCTAATATCTACATAATACCCTAACAACATAATATAGGGGTGAGCAAACCCAAACCAAGAAACCGAGAAACCGATTAAAACCGACGAAACCGAAACCGAAAAAACCGAAACCGAAGCAAAACCGACGATTAGGGTTTAGATTTTTTAAAAACCGAAAAATCGGGTTCGGTTTCGGTTTTTACCCAGAAACCGACTCATCCAACCCGAGAAACCGACCCATACCTAAAACCAACAAACCGACCCAAGAAACCGACCCATATATATATATATATATATATATATATATATATATATATATATATATATATATATATATATATATATATATATATATATTAAAAAAAGGAAAGAAAATATAACAACCCTAAATCACTAAATCGAAATCGGGGTCTCAGTTTCCCACTTCTGTCTTCCATTCTCATTATCATCATTCGTATTTTCTCGTCTCCCCTTCCCCGATCGAAATCGACGACGCAACCAGCAGCAGCAGGAGCTCCGCTGCTCCGACGAGTTCCGACTCCAACAACCCCATTCCTAAACCGTCGACGCCACTCTTCCAAACTGCCGCCTTCGACGCTCCGTTCTCGCTTCTCACTTCTCAAGTTCGTTTTCTAATTTCTCTTAAGGATTATAACATTGATTAACCTTCATGGTTCGTCTAGAGTTTAAATGTTTGATTATAACCTTCATAGTTCATCTAGAGAAAGAGAGACATCAATATTCAGCAACGTATGGTTGTTGTTTGATTTTAACAGTAGCTAATTTAGTGATTTTAGAGCTGAATGAACCTACGATATAGATTATTGTTGTTGAAATATTGTTGTTGTTTGCTTATGAATTATGATGTTATTGGCTGTTTGCTTATGATTTTTGATGCTGAAATTCAGAATTTCTTTTTCGTGTATGATCTAAAAACAAAATTTTTTGGTAATTCCAGAAACTGTTGATGTTGATTGTATTTTTTTTTCTATATAGATGGAAAGGTCTCAGGTAAATGCAGAAACTGTTGAGTGCATGGGTTGAACCCAAGAAACCGAAAAATCGTCCAAACCGATCTTAGAACCCGAGAAACCGAACCGACCAGAAACCGATTCCATTGGGTTCTGAAAACCAGAAACCGACCATTTACGGGTTGGGTTGGGTTTAGGTCTAAAACCGACCCAAACCGACCCATGCACAGCCCTAACATAATATGAGCGTGTAATGGAGAACTGGTTCCCTAATTTCTACATAATACCCCATACTTTCTACATAATACACATTTAACTTTTCAAATTCGAAATTACCAATATAACCAAGAGTAAATTACACGAATGGTCCCTATGGTTTGGGGTAATTTGTATTTTTGATCACTAACTTATTTTTTTTAACTCAAAAGGTCCCTACTGTTTGTTTTTGTTGCACGATTGGTCCTGTTTTACCTAAAAAGACTTATTTACGCTTGATTTTTTAATTTATTTAAATAAACACACCCCAACCCCACTTCCACCTCACCTTATCTTACCTTACCTACCCCACTTTAGTTAAATAAATTAAAAAATCAATGGCAAAAATAGTCTTTTTAGGTAAGATAAGGATGAAACGCGCAACAAAAACAAACTGTAAGGACCTTCCGTGTTAAAAAATAAGTTAGAGAAACATGCAAATTACCCCAAACCATAGGGACCATTCGTGTAATTTACTCTATAACCAATAAAACCTACATTAACTTGTCATATATGGGTGTTTTTGAATAGCTTAAACAAGTTTAATGGCCATTTGTATACAAAAACAAACATAAGTGACTAAATGCATACATAGGGTAAAGTTTTATTAGCCATATATGTCTTTAACCCTTTATTTTTCTTTCCATTTCTTTTAGTTTTTTGTCATCTTCTCAATAAACTTTAAACATTTTTTACTAAACTTTTTATTTTTCTATAAAGATTGTCATATTATAATACCTTACCAAAATGACAAAATTAGTACCAAATTCAAGCATATGATAACATTCTATACATGTTTGCAACCAGACTAAAGTAAACAAGAAACTATCTAATCAAAATCTTGAAGCTTAGAAGCAGCAATAGAATTCAAGATCCAAAAGTTGCTCACAGCTACACCACCACTTGATCTTGCTAGAGCCTCTGCATCTGACTTTCTTTGACTCAAAACAAGATTTCGCTCTTTCAGTTTAATCTTATCAGGAATCTCAAGGCTATAAATCAAGAACTGCTTTTCATCATTCAAATTTACTGGCTTCCTGTGTAGCACTGTGCCTCCAGCAGCAATTATAAGATCATGTAAATATCCCTTGTATGAAGCCACAAAATCTCCAGTAAAATAGAACTTCAAACCATTAAATAATTTTGGTTCCTATAAAATAAATTATAGGTAAATACTATTCAGTATTAGATATTTCAATATGAAAACAAAAAAATATAAATAAAAAAAAAATGAACCTTGTTGAGTAGCCTAAATCGCCCGAGTTTAGGACCACCAGTGAATCCATAAACATCGAGATTAATCTCATAAAGCTGTTCATCAACAGGTTTCTTGACCTCCAAGCAAGCCTTAATCCCTTTTGACATTCAAAAGAAAAAAAATAAATAAATAAATAACACTTGGCTATATATATATATACATGAAGTAATATCTATATATATGCTTACATTCAATAGTGAGGATCCACTTTCCCTCTATGATACCCATCAGATATTTTAAAGTTCTTCTGCATGCGCCATTTTCATCCACTGATGCAATGACATGTGTCACCCTTAAATCCCATGTTTTTAGTATTGTAACTCCAGATAACTTCTCAAACTCTACAATGATTTCCTATAATACCCTTACCAAGTTAGTTAAAAACAACATATATTTTGTGAACTTATATATGCATGGATGTTTATATTTATTTTACCTTTTCAATATTTGTGAGAGCAGAGCAACAAAGAACAACTTTTGTGAATAGTCCATGTGGGTCCAAACGTGTGTTTGCCAGCTGTCTGTTTGCATAACAAACAAATGTCAAGATTAGCAAAATACAAAGCAAAAATTACAACCAAAAACAAAATAAAAGAATTCATACCTTTTTGGGACACATTTCTTTTTCTGTTTTAGTTGAGAACCACATGTTTCATTTGGGAGCTTATGAGAGGCATGAATTGGGCATAACATGACAAAGTTATCCTGTGTGAAGAAAAAAGTAAAACCATGTTTATTTTCTGTATATATTTTTTTTTCTTTTTAATAGTAAACATAATGTATATTGATACCTTATCCCATCTGCATTCTGGTGTTAGTTTTGCACAAGGAAAATGAAAGCTTCTGTGACAATTTTTCTCATAACAGCCAAGAGATGCTCCCTTTATTCCACAGCAAGAGCATTTAATCCTCTTGCTTCTAGCAAATTCAGCTTCTAAATTGACAGCAATATCATCTTCAAAGTATACATTAGGAGCCCTGTATACATTTTCAACTTCACTTTAACTAATTCGCCTTTTTACAGGTTAACTATTAACAGGTATGTCAGTAAATTACCATTCTGTACAGTTGCTGTGTGCATGTATGGCATTTGGTGCGCCTTCATGATCCAAAGTTATAGGCTTTCCTTTAAGGTAGTGTGTCATGCATCCAGTAATCTGCAGTATTTATACTTTTGATTAGAATATTCTGTCTTTTTAACAGTAATCAAATGAGACAAACCAAATAGAAAAGATTTGGTATTAAAAGGGTATAGAAGTGTAAAATACATCTGATTCTTCTTTGGAGTGGCAGAAAGCACAACAAATATCAGTCAGAGTGTCACTTTTTTTTGTAGCAGCATTTTCAGAAGTTCTTGGAATGTCATCAGCTGGTTTGATCTTATCCCCTTTGTTTGTAGAAAATGTCACCTTTTTAGAAGTTTCCAATTTCTTGGAAATTTTATCTTTTTCAGTTTGTTTTGTGGAAGAACAAGCTTTTATCTTACAATTAACAAGAGAAGGCTTAATGGGAAGCTGTGAGATGATAGTTTTGTCGGTCCCAGTTATGGTATTGTTACTGGTACTTGAATCTTGGTTTTTTGACTTTTTTGCCCTTTTTATAGGTTGCTGTGTAGTGATCTCTTTTTTGTCTGTGTCTCTCTTGACTCTCTTCTTTTGGATGATTTCCTTAGTCTTTTTAACTCTCTTCTTGGACCCTTTGACTTTAACTTCATGGTCAACCTTTTGAAGTGAGGATAAATTCGGTAAAACCACTTCCATGTTATCAGTCTCTTTCTCTGTGACCATATCATATCCATCAGATTCTTTCTCCTGTGTCACAATTCCAAATTAAGTGACATGATTATCATCCAATAAAGTAAGTAAAACATATATAAATACAAGAATATAATAAATATAATACCTGCTTCTTCACTGGACTTACACAAAGCTCAGGAGAGCAAGGTCTTTGTGTCCATTCAAACATTTCACTATCAAGATTGGCATCACTCTGCAATGATGAAACAAGTATAGATGTTTAAGCTAATAAGTTCTATCAAATAGAAAGAAAACTCAATATTTTATAACAATTATCATAGACAAAAGTAAAATTTTTAACAAAGTACTAAAAAGTTACCTTTGAGGTCACGTGACAAGAATGATCCTCAAGGGAGTCCTTGATATCACTGAAGCATGGAGCATTTGATTGTGAAACATATAAAGGATCTAAAGGTGTAGGTTCGACTGTTTCTTCATTATCTTCTTCATTTCTAAGCCAAAAGAAAGGGGAAAATATTCTTTCTTCATTCTCATGTAAATGATCTGTGTCTTCTAATCCAGCCACATTAGTTTGAGTTCTATCTTTAATAAGCTCAGACTTCCCACCTTCAGGATTTGCAGGTCTTGTTGGTGTCTCTTGTGGATGATGTTGTGGCACTTGAATCCTTTTCTTTATTGGGAAAGATGGTCTCACAGGATCTGAAGTACATCTTTTAGGCTTCTTTAAAGATCCTTTCAAGGTTTTCCCTTTGTTTTTTCTCTGATTTTGTGTCGTTGGTGTGTTTCCAAGGGCTTTGCTGGTTGTCTTACTTCTAGAAGCAGTCACATTCTCTATTTGATCCTCGTGACCTAAAATTCCAAGATAAAAGTGTGAACATGTATCTCAAGTTATATATGCCTTATGAACTAATACCTGATGTTTGAGGTTCTGTTTGAGTGATAAGTATGTTGACTCCAGAAGAAACTTCCATGCTCTTGTAAATGTTCACTAAAGTATCCATGTGAGGTGCAGGACGAATCTCTGAAGCAGATAAGATTGGGTTCATTACTAATTAGGGAACACATACAAAAGAGAGTTCATAGTTAAAAAATATGTTTACTAATCTGTAGCACATTATACGAGACCCACCGTGTATCAAACAGAAAGCTAGTTCAGGCCTTGTCAATCTTAAGACCCAGAATTGGCGATTGTAAATTATGTTCAGTACTACCGTCTAATAAACTAGTTGAAGCCTTGTCAATCTTAACCTAATTTCAATACATATCAAAGGAGTTTTTTAAAAGAACAAAAGCATCGCATTCAAAAATACCTCTTCGCCGATAAGGGGTTTTGCATACAGGACAAGTTGAATCGGACTTCATAGATTTGTCGATGCATAGACTGAAAATGATCGGAAAGAAGAAAGTAAATTAATTTATCTGAATCATTCCCGCCGCTACGATATGGTAAAGGAAAAGAGAAAAAGATATGTTTTAAACAACAACAAATGAACAGCTTACTTGCAAAATATGTGATTGCACGTAAGCGAAACTGCATACTTCAAAAGACTTAAGCTGCAGATAACAGAAAATTAGAGAACTAGGAAATTCAGGCCACATGAACCACGGAATCAATCACCAAAAGGAAACATGATATCAGTTTTGTGTGTGGAGATTACCAGATGGGACACTTGAGTTCTTCGCCCATTCGTTCCAGGTGCGAAGTGGCCTCCATTTTTCAGATCTGTGAATATTTTGCGGCAGAGATGAAGAAGGTGAATTGAAATTGAAGACGAATTGAGAGGAGGGATGGATTTGTGTTGTGAAAATGGAAGTGGGGAGTGAAAATTTAAAAAATTTACACATCGCGGGAGACTTTTCATCATATGCTTTCCCGCTTTGTGAAAATTGCTGCATACGCAAACGACCCAAAAATGACCGGTCAATCTAATATGTCGGGATAGGCGATTAATTTGAAAAAGAGTCTAATTGGGCATCATGTAGTTTTCATTTTTACTTTTAGAATAAATTACACGAATGGTCCCTATGATTTGAAGTAATTTATACGTTTGGTCTTTATTTTATTTTTTTAACTTGAAAGGTTCTTATAGTTTGTTTTTGTTGCATGTTTGGTCCCTATCTTACTTAAAAAGACTATTTTGCTCTTCATTTTTTTAATTTATTTAAATAAAATGAGGTAAGATAAGGTAAAGTGACGTGGAAGTGGAGTTGGGTGTTTATTTAAACAAATTAAAAAACCAAGGACAAAATAGTCTTTTTAGGTAAGACAAGGACCAAGCGCGTAACAAAAACAAACTATAGGGACCTTCCAAGTTAAAAAAAATAAGATAGGACCAAACGTGCAAATTACCTCAAACCATAAGGACCATTCGTGTAATTTACTCTAAAAGTAAAAATAAAAAGTATATGACACCCAATTAGACTCTTTTTCAAATTAATCGCCTATCCCGACATATTAGATTGACCGGTCATTTTTGGGTCGTTTGCGTATGCAGCAATTTTCACAAAGCGGGAAGTATATGATGAAAAGTCTCCCGCGATGTGTAAATTTTTTAAATTTTCATACCCTCCCCACTTCCATTTTCACAACACAAATCCATCCCTCCTCTCAATTCGTCTTCAATTTCAATTCACCTTCTTCATCTTTGCCGCAAAATATTCACAGATCTGGAAAATGGAGGCCACTTCGCACCTTGCACCGGGAACGAATGGACGTAATTAGTTTTTTTTAGCAATTTTGCTCTACTGGTTGTATTCTTTTAGATAGAACATCGTCGTATATCATGTTTTCTTCTTCTTTGGTGTATGGATGCACAAAGCCTTTGGACACCTCGTTGTGTTATGTTTCCTTTATTTTATAAATGCTAACATTGTATCAAAATTATAGATATTGTTATAGGTTCATCTTTTAGATCGTATTCTAGAAAATATTGATTACTCCCCAATCAATTCGCTTTACGCAAATCTAACAATTTATGACATGTCGTTTCCTTTTAAGGATACACATAACAAGTATAACATCTGGGTGGATTAATCGCATTCGTCTACAAACCATTTTATACAAAATTGCATAGGCAGGGTCGGCCCATGGGTCTGGGCAAGCTGGGCGACCGCCCCAGGCCCTCAAATGGCAAAGGGCCCCCATTTTATGCTTGTTATATTGAGTTAGCCCATTATGTTTTAGACCAGTCCATTAGTTCAAAAGCCCAATACTAATATTGGGCGCCAATTTAAGGAAGTGGGAGTGATTATTAGGCATGCGATGTCAGATTCCGAATTCCAAGGCTCGTCTAATGGATCAGTTGATTGGCATTGTTCCCACTTCTCCAGACTAACACTTACTTCGATCTATGATTTCTCTCTTTATTTAATTTCTTAATTCTTGTTCAGGTTGTAACATCCGGATTTTCAGGGACATTATTGTGTATGTTAATATTTGAGCTTTAAGGAGGGACTCGACGAGTTGAGGGACCAACTCGCCGAGTCGAGTCGAGATTGACCGCGTGGGTTTAATGAGCGGACTCGACGAGTCTGAGGATGGACTCGCCGAGTAGGCACTGGGCAGAGAAAACCCTAAGTTCCGGGGTTGGAGCTTATTTAAAGGAACTTATGACCTTGGGTGCGCCTCATATCTCCTGTGAGAAACTCTAAATCGCCATTGGAGCCAAGGAAGAGTTCTTGTGATGAAATCAAGTAGTTTTGGTGTGGTTTTTCAAATGAAGTGAAGGGATTCAGCTTGAAGGACCAAAGGAGGTTGTTATTCTGAGACATCTAAGCAAGGATCTCCATTTTGAGGTAGTATTTCGCCCCTTCTTTCTGTTTTGTGTAAAATCCTTGAATCTAGGGTTTTCTTTACCCTTTCTTGGATTGTATATGATGCATATGAGGTCCCAATGTGGAATAAGCTTTAGATCTGGACCTTAAGAGGTCCAGAGAGTCCCAATCTTCCAGCTTTATGCATTCCCTTTGGGGTTATGGATCTAGGTTGCCATTTTAGGAGCTATTTCTTCATATAAGGGCATAAGAGTGTTGCATGAGCTTAAAGATTGAACCTTTACGTGATTATTGGGTGTAAGAAGGTCAGATCTATAAGTTAGAGAAACAGATCTGACCTCAGAAGGTCTTTTGAGTGTTACAATGGAGAGAAATCGTCGAGTCCATATGGGGACTCGACGAGTCGAGTCGGGTTGCCCCGCGGTTCGTGACCAGTAACCCGTCGAATGAAAGGTTAACTCGACGAGTCGAGTGAGGCTTTTTTGAGGATTCAGAGGACACGCATGGACTCGCCGAGTCACTCGAGTGCACTCGACGAGTCTGGTCAAAGTCTGACCGTTGACTAGAGTTGACTTCAGTTGACCTTGGGGTTTTGGTCAAGCTGATTCAAGAGAGGTCAGAGAGGGGTATAATAGTCTTCTACCCATTATTAGGGATGAGAACATGAGAGGATTTTTATTAGAGATGTTATCATTTTGATAGGAGGAGGCTAGGTCGGGTTATCGAGCACGAGAAGGTATCCGACATAATGCGAGGTGAGTCTTCTCATTATACATTACCTAGAGTGGTATCTATGTGCAGACCGGAGGGTCTTATGTGTCATATGTTGATATTATGTGTATTATGATATATGTATGCTATGTGTTATATAGACCCGGACCGGAGGGTCCAACGACTTACGAGGCCAGAGGGTCCTCGAGTAGACCGGACCGGAGGGTCCAACGATTCAGACCGGACCGGAGGGTCCAACGAGCTAGACCGGACCGGAGGGTCCAACAAGCTACGGGACTGGAGGGTCCCGCTGAGACACATCGACCGGAGGGTCGTACCGATTTATAGCCTCGAGTGGCGTATGTGATGTATGTGGTATTTTGGGGAACTCACTAAGCTTCGTGCTTATCGTGTTATGTGTTATGTGTTTCAGGTATCTCCGAGGATCGCGGGAAGGCACCGACTTGATTGTACACACCAGAGAAAGAGTTATATTTTGAGGATCCTGGATAATTAATGGAGTTGTGCTTGTAAAATGAATAAACGAGATTTCTATACAAAATGTTATGAAAAGTATGTGGTTTTAAAATGAAAAATATGTTTGAAAAATTACGGTGTTACACTGGTTTTTCTTTTTTGATTCCTGAATCCCATTATCCCACACTCCCATGATTTCTTTCTTGATTCTTCCCCTCATATCAATTTACTTGACCCTTTCACCTATTGCATCAATGATTTCTATTTCTCAGTCATATATTGTTTATGAAATAACCTATAGTTTATGAAATATTGAATGAGAAGCACTCTGAAATTCGAGAATCTGAGAATTTAAAGATGCAAATCACGCCATTGATTTATGAATCTATTAGACTGTTTAAATCCGATTTTTGAATCTGCCGTTCCATTATTCTAATTTTTACAGCATTTGTATTTCTTATTCTTACATGGTTACACTCTCTATCTTAATTTCAAATTTCTGATCATGCAATTGATCTATGAATCTATTAGAATGTTAAATTTGATTTTTGAATATGTCGTTCCATTATTCTAATTTTAGCAGCATTTGTATTTCTTATTCTTACATGGTTACACTCTCTTTATTAATTTCAAATTTCTATTGTATTTCAATTTCCAACAAAGTTACTGCAGACAACATGTTACAACATAGGAGGTGCAGGTGCTCTTGTTTCGCCTTTTTAACTGTGATATCTATTACTTATATATTTATATCTATTAAAAATGATTCCTATAAAATAGTGAAAGAAAAAAAAACTTAGACAATTTGTTGAAACACAAAATGGATTTATGAATAAATTTATGAAAAAGTTAAATTGTTCTAACGTAATTGTAAATGTAATTTTTTTAGTTTTTATTTTCTATGTTTATGTTTTGGGACTTAGAACATGGTATTTTTTATTTGGTTCTTATGTAAGCAGTAGTTGTTAAGTTGTTTAGTTGTTAGTTCTATTTGGACTTTGGAGTCTTTATTATTCCATAGGTGGGGGGAGTCCGAACATGTAATTGTATAATTTTTCTTAATTAATAAAAATTTCGGAGGTCTCTCTCTCTCTCTCTCTCTCTCTATATATATATATATATATATATATATATATATATATATATATATATATATATATATATATATATATATATATATATAGGTTCAAATGTTTCTAGTATCTATTGTGTGCTCGTAAACACAAATTTGGACTAACGAATGAAATATAATCAATGGTCATAATCGGAGAGTCTATCATATTACAATAAGGTAACATGTACCATATAATCACACAAATTTCAGCATAAGGGTATTTTGGTCAATTAGTCTATATTAAAAAAGGAAATTTTTGAATTTTTAAGGGATAATTAATTCTCTTATTTTTAAAAAATCTGATTTTTTTAAATTAATTTAAATTTAATTCTAATATAATTTTTAATAACACCCGATTTTATTATGCCAGAATGACAGAATGTCAACCATAAACTAGTAAAGATATTTTCGATTTTATTATTCTTGAATATGGTTCCATTCAATATATTTTTATAGTTAACATGCTTAAAGAATTATACAACATATTATCAAGAATAACATTTTATAAACAATACAAATTTTATTCTTTAAAAATCATTAATTACATTAATTCGTAAAGAATAAGACGATAAACATTTATTACACTCATGCTGAAAAAAATATGGCTAATAATGATTTAAGAATTACATTTATTCTTAAAGATTAAAACTAAGAATGGTTAAAAAAAAGAAAGAAAATCAAATTTTAACAAAACACTAATCCATTATGAAAGAATATTATTGTTAAGAAACATTTTGTACATTCCGGTAGAATACACTTTTGTTCTCCATGCTTTCT